TCTATAAAATAAACAACACAGGCATCACGTATTACTGACTGTACGTTTACTAAATCTATAAAATAAACACCACAGGCACCACGTATTACTGACTGTACGTTTACTTAATCTATAAAATAAACAACATAGGCACCACGTATTACTGACTGTACTTTTAATAAATCTACAAAATAAACAACACAGGCACCACGTATTACTGACTGAACTTTTAATAAATCTATAAAATAAACAACACAGGCACCACGTATTACTGATTGTACTTTTAATAAATCTATAAAATAAACAACACAGGCACCACGTATTACTGACTGAACTTTTAATAAATCTATAAAATAAACAACACAGGCACCACGTATTACTGATTATATTTTTAATAAATCTATAAAATGAACAACACAGGCATCACGTATTACTGATTGTACTTTTAATAAATCTATAAATTAAACAACACAGGCACCACGTATTACTGACTGTACTTTTAATAAATCTATAAAATAAACAACACAGGCATCACGTATTACTGATTGTACTTTTAATAAATCTATAAATTAAACAACACAGGCACCACGTATTACTGACTGTACTTTTAATAAATCTATAAATTAAACAACACAGGCACCACGTATTACTGACTGTACTTTTAATAAATCTATAAATTAAACAACACAGGCACCACGTATTACTGACTGTACTTTTAATAAATCTATAAAATAAACACCATAGGCACCACGTATTACTGACTGAACTTTTAATAAATCTATAAAATAAACACCATAGGCACCACGTATTAATGACTGAACTTTTTAATAAATCTACAAAAAAAAAACAACCCAGGCACCACGTATTAATGACTGTTTATTTAATAAATCTACAAAATAAACAACACAGGCATCACGTATTACTGGCTGAATTTTTAATAAATCTACAAAAAAAAAAAAACCCAGGCACCACGTATTACTGATTGTACTTTTAATAAATCTACAAAATAAACAACACAGGCACCACGTATTACTGACTGTACTTCTAATAAATCTATAAAATAAACAACA